AGAGAGAGAGAGAGAAAGAGAGAGGAGAGAGAGAGAGAGAGAGAGAGAGAGAGAGAGAGAGAGAGAGAGAGAGAGAGAGACTTTTGTATTAGATTATTCTTCCTTGGTTTTATTTTTATTTAGTTATCTTTCTCTACTGGCTTAATTGAGTGATAGAAATATGATAGATGATGCCAAATAAAACTCTTGAGATGATAGATGATGCCAAATAAAACTCTTGAGACAGATTTCATATAGAAAACACTTTAAAAAGAAATAAGATACATCTACTCAGTTGATTATAATAATTCAGTGGAGTCTCCCTGGGCCCTCCTTATGAGGTATACTTTAGACTAAAACAGTCCCTCAGTTCCATATTAGAGACAACTAACTCTTACTGGGTGGTGTACATGTCGTCTTCTGTTTTCTACAAACAAACCCATCTTCCTGGTACTATTATTCCCATCTCATGAATGTGAAAACTGAAGCAAGTGGGAGTTTCATTATTAGTGCAAGGCAGCTTGTCTAGTAGGTAGTAGGATGGATACTGAAGTTCAGTAGTCAGGCTGCAGATCCCACATGGCTGAAGTACCACCACCGAAACTGCATCAAAAGCCTGAAAGAAAATAATCCTTGGTGCTCATTTAGAAATCGACAAGGAAGCACAACAGGTGTGCCTGGTGGGAGTCACCTAGGACAACAGGTGTGCCTGGTAGGAGTCACCTAGCTTCTCCTGATGGGTCTAAGCTGTGCCTCGTCTGTCATCTTGACAACATCCACAGCCTTTCCCCCCATCATGCATCATCACTGCCCTGCCCCCTGCTTTACTCGCTGCCTTACTTCAGTTTGAGTTTCTGGTCTTGTCCTTTTTTTTCTTTTTAATTCTCCTGGTTTAAATGACCACTTCCTCTATTAATAATAAAAAGGTAATGATCTTCCAAATATACCCCCCCACACACACACATGCATTGAGCTCCAATCCCATGTCCAATGAGGCCTTGACTGTCAGCACAGGGTTGTCTCATAGGTCACTAAAGACGATCTTGTCTAAAAATGACTCCACGTCTGTTAGATAGGCTGTGTTTCCAAGTGTGCTTCTGTGCCCAAGTTTTCCAGCTTGGACAACTTCCATGGTCTTTGCTCTACTGTGAGTGTACTGGGCCATGCTATGCTTTTTTGTCATCGTTTTCTTTGCCTGTTACTTTTGGCTCTGTATTTCTAAAAGTATAATTCTCAAAAGTTAGAGTTTAATTTAGAAACATCTGCCATCTCTCTATCACTTCCAAGACAAAAACCCAAACTTGAAGTAATTGGAAAGCTTTTTACAAATATAGCAATATAATATATCCGTACGTAGAATGGTGTGTGTATATACATGGGTGTGTGGGTGTACTTTGTGTGCATACAGTGCATCTGTGGAGGCTAGAGGTTGGTGTTGTATGTCTTCCTCAATCATTGGTTACCTTATTGTTTTGAGTCTCACTTTGAACCAGGAGGCCACTGATTTGGCTGGCCAGCAAACCCCACAGATCCACCTCACTGCTATGATTACAGGTATATGTCGCCATGCCTGGATTTTGATGTAGGTGCTGGAGATCTGTATTCAGGTCCTCATGCTTTCACAGCATGCATGTTACTGATGATCCATCTCCCTAAACCATAATTTTTAATGAAAATAAATTATAAAATTATAAAAATATTGTGTGCTGCTGACACACCTGAGTAATCCAAGAACCCCATTTACAGAGTCAAAATGAGCAAGTCACCTTTGAAAGTGCAAATTGCAGCTTAAAAAGACAGCATTTTTCATTTGAAAGCTCTTTCTTTGTACCCTCTTCATCATCCCAGGGCTGATCCAATTCTTACACCCCCACACTGCCGCCATCTACTCCCTCTTCTTGGATTCAGCCTTGAAGGAGTGATGCTAGAAGAGAGTATGCCAGGAGGAACAAGTCATCAGGTTCTGATTTTAGATGGATTGCTTAAAACAAATCTAACCAAAATAAAGCAAAAAATATAAACCTTTCATACTGCCAAGCAATGTTGGTTGCCAGTGTCTCCAGTGTGTTTTGGATCAGCTGAATCATGTTCTGTCAAAATTCACATGCAGAAATTCTATTCTCTCAAGTCTCTGAATGTGACTGTTTGGAGCTGGGGTCTCTGATGAGGGGATTAAAGGAGAATGAGATCAATAGGATGAATCCTTATAGGAAGAGAAAACTAGACAGAAGGATAATTATGTGAGGACTGAGAGAGAAGGAGGCTGTCTTCCAATCAGAACAAGAGAGGAGAGTCCCAGAAGAAGCTAAGCATGCCAATACATTAATCTCTGTGCTCTGTAAGGACATAGGTTTCTATGGTGATAACCACTGAGTGCACAGTGCTTCATCACGGCAGTTCTAGCAAATTCATACAGTCTATAAACACTGCCTGGTATGATGTTTTGATTTATTGCCATGTACCACACTTTGTTCTATGTGGTTTGTATATATTTAACTTATTTAATCTTTAGAATAGCTGCAAAAGGGTACTATTTATACCTCTGTTGTGTGGGTGAACAGGCTCCAGTATGGACAAGCTAGTTCATGTTATTGAATAGAATAGCTAGAAACTGGAGGGACTGTGATTTGTACCTGTGACAGGATTGAATAGTTTGTGATGCCTGCGGAACTCCTTTCTACATTTTAGAGCTGGGATGCTCCTGACATCCTGCATTCTTGGTTTGAACAAGATGTCACTCTCCTTGTTCACAAGCAGTGCTGGTCCTCCTATGTTCCTGGACCTACACTGTGGCTCAGATCAACAATCTCCTTTTTGGGCCAATTTCATTCCATGGCAATCCCTGCGTTGGCTGTAACTGATGGTAATCGAGGTGTCTGTCTCACTCTCTGAGCTCATGGGGATTGGAGAAAACTACACTTCACATTATATTCTGAAGTACGGAGCAGTGGTGGGTAGCACACTACAGTGGAAGCAGGGCTTGTCAGTCTGTGCTACAAATGGTAAAACCCGCTCTGCTGGATACTGAAATATCTTTCTCTGTCATTTCAGGCATCTACAATACCTCAAAAATGAAGTACAATGACATACAAACTGACTCTCCTGGATCCATTATAACATTCTAACGTTCTCTATCTGGAAGAGAAATGGGACCCCGCTCTTCTTCTAAGGCAGTGCTTCACGCTATTGAACTGCTGGGCTCATCTATTCCGCGCTTCAGTGATAAGGGGAGGTAGCCAAGGAACACATCCAGGCAGCCACATTTCTCAACCATCACCCATCTTGTCAATGAAAAATAACTCCACTATTCCTTTTTGTCAGGAAGAGTTTCACTTTTTGAAGTGCTTGCTGCCTTTGGAGAGGAGAATTCCAGTGAGTATCTTTCAAACTTGAACTAACTGCTATTTTAGTGTAAGCTCCTGGTTGGAAACCTTGAAATAACGATTAACCACACCCAGGCTATGGATGATTCACCTTTATCAACACCGAAGTGCTTAAAAAGAAAACTATGGGCTGGAGAAATAGCTCAGCTATTACAAACACTATCTGCTCATCCAGAGAACCAGAGTTTGATTTTCAGCACGCATACCCTCATAGCTCTCTTCTGGCTTCTGGAGGCACTACATACACAAGGTGTATAGACACATACGCAGGCAAAACACCCATAACCATAAAAATAAAGAATTTAAGAAATTATAAAAAGAAAACTACAACTACACCCAATATTACCAATGGGTTTCCCAAAGTGGCTATACAAATTTATATTCCAATAATAAATGGGCATTCTAGATGCTCTGTTAATATTGCTACCTGATGTTAGCAGTCTTTGGTGTTATTTTGTTTTCTGTGTGTGTGTGTGTGTGTGTGTGTGTGTGTGTGTGTGTGTGTATGTGTGTGTATAGTTCTGTGCATGTGAGTACAGGAACCAAAGGAGGCCACAAGAGGCAGTAGGATCCCCTGGAGCTGGAGCCACAGGTGCTGCTGTGAGCCTCATGAGATTGGTACTAGGAAGAGAACTCAGGTCCTCTGCAAGAGCAGTACACAATCCTAATAGCTGAACCATCTCCCTTCAGCCCCAGTCTTCATGCTTTACCTGAGCTACTCTTGTAGATTTATATCTCTGTGCATCATTTTATTTCTCTGATACTTAATGGGGCTTAGCAGCTTTCTGTATATTTAGACCCATGTGTTTTGTGTAGAATATCAGTTCATGTCTTTTTGCCCCTTTTCCATTGAATTGTCTGTTTTCTGTAGTGACTTGGGGAAACACTGCAGTTTTTCCATTTTCGGGGCAAGAATATAAGTATTTTACCTAATTATAGTTTACTTTTACTGCTCTTTGTGATAGTTTCTTCAAGAATGGCCCCTCTAGGTCATATGTTTAGATGCTTACTTCCTGTTTGGTGGATTGTTTAGGAAGGATTAGAAGGGGTGTTCTTGTTGGAGGAGGTATGTCACTGGGGGGCGGGCTTCAAGGTTTCAAACATCCATGCCAGGCCCAGTCTGTCCTTCTGTCTGCAACTTATAGTTCAGATATGAGCTCTCAGCTACTGCTCCAACGTCAGGCCTGCTTGTCTGTTTGCTGCCTTATTCCCCACCCTGTGTTCATGGATTACTTTTATTGAACTGTAAGCAAACCCCCAATTAAATGCTTCCTTCTCTGTTACCTTGATCATGCACTTCATCACAACAATAGAACAGTAGCTAAGACACCCTTCTTAATTTTAATGTAGTTTATTAATCAGCGTTTTACCTACAGTGGAGCTATGCATTTATCACATTATGTAACCCCAATATAAGATAGGAAATGTGAAGAGGTATTTTTCTTTAAAATAAGTTTCAAATAAGTTCCTTTTATTCTACCAAAATTTTTATAATCAGAAATGTTTATCGATTTTAAATATTTTTTTCTTGTACTTGTTTCTTTTTTCTCATTTTTATTAATTCTTTGAGAATTTCATGGAATATGTTTTAATCATATTTACCCTCCTCCCCAACTCTTCCCAGATCTACCTCTTGCCCACCCAACTCTATGTCCTCTTTAAAAAGAAAACCCATCAAGCCGGCAGTGGTGGTGCACGCCTTTAATCCCAGTACTCAGGAGGGAGAGCCAGGCGGATCTATGTGAGTTCAAGGCCAGCCTGGGCTACAGAGCAAGATCCAGGACAGGCACCAAAACTACACAGAGAAACCCAGTCTCAAAAAAAAAAAAAAAAAAAAAAAAAAAAAAAAAAAAAAAAAAAAAAAAAAAAAAAGGAAAGGAAAGGAAAGGAAAGGAAAACCCATCAAATTCAGTTTGTGCTACCCATCTATTCTTGAGCATGTCACCTTCTGCTGCAGCATGATTGACCCACCAGAGGCCATCTCTAAGAAGCTGACTCTCCTCCCAGCAGCTGCCAGTCACCAATAACTCCGTAGACAGGACTGGGACTTCGTGTCCACCCCCCCTCTCCATGCTGGACCCTTGTCTGTCTTGCCCCGCCCCCCACAGGCCTCCCGCGGGTCTCTCCACTGCTGTCAGCTCACGTGTGCAGCCCCCTGCTGCGTTCAGTGAATGCTCTTTCCTTGTCCTCTGCTGCTTCTGGATCTTACAATCTTTTCAGCTCCTCTTCTGAAATAGTAATGAGTCTTCGGAGGAGAGGGTGTGATATCAACTGAATAACAAAAGTCTTAAACTGCAGAAAAATAAAAAGTAGGCTCATGTAAGAACAAAAATAACTTTCCCCTCCTTAGATGTTAGGAATCATAACTAATATAATCAAATTTCTAAAGCACCATTAAAATAATTCTTTCCAACCACCCGTATTTTTCTTTGTTTTATATTAATTCTTTTTATTTTTTTGAGATTATAATATAATTGCATCATTTCCCCCTTTCCTTTCATCTTTCAAAACCCTCCCATATACCTCTCTCTCCTATCTTTCAAATTCATGGCCTCTTTTCTCATATATATACACATATATATGTATGTATGTATATATATATACATGTATATGTAAATTATATATATTTCTTACATATTTATAATGATATATTTCATATATATTTCACACACATATATGTATATATTCCTAAATATAATTAGTTCAGTCTATATGTGTTATTTGTATACATGATTCAGGGCTGACCATTTGATATCAGACAATCAATGGGTGTGCTCTTCCCTGGGCAGACTTCTTCTCCCACTCTCAGCGTTCCTTAGTTGCCTGTAGTTCTTAGTGCAGGTCTGAGGCTTCCTGGGCTCTCCCTTGTCCTTAGCCTGTCTTCTGTTGTTCTTGTTCTGAGATACCTGTATTCTTAATTTTCTATCAAATTCCCTTTTAAAATGATTTCTAACTTTCAAAAGTTAAAGTGGAACTGCACAGCTTTTTCTACAAAATTTTCTTCTAAGAAGTCATTTTTCTGGTTGCTTTGGACTTGAAACTGCCTTTGAGGCTCTAAAAATTGCAGCACCGCTATAATTTTTATTACTTCCTTCTGTTCATTAGAAATACTAAGAAAGAAATTATTGTTGCATCATGATGCCAATGAGTCTGTAATTAGAATTTTTTAGATAGAAAAAGGCAATTGTTAGTTTCCTATTTGAGTCACAGATTAAGCTTCCTTTATGGTTTCAAGTATTGCTATTTCATTGCAATGTATGTGCAAGGAGGGGTGTTGATAGTACTTGTCATGACTTGGGCTCATTGAAATTTTACTGACTAGAGATGAATGAAAGTTTCTGTGAAGAGAATTCTTCAGGGTTTCTACATAGTAAGAGTCTTTCTGCTTGAAAAGATCATTAGCCCACATTGTGAAATGTTTCAGAACAAAATTTGGATGATAATTCATTTTGCTTATTGACAAATGGGACACAATAGTCATCCTTTTAGTTATTTCTATCCTATAATCAACAAAGTCACCTTAATGGTTTTGTCCTAAATTATTGACTTTCATTTTAAAATGTTGGACTGCAAGCAGTTAAAAAGATCTCTTTATGAGTCAGATACGTGAAACAATGGAATTGTCCACTGTTCCTGAAAGGCAAGGAATATTTCCCCAAGGAGAGAGACCTTGAGATGGGTTAAAAAATGTAGATTACTTACCCAGACAAAACAATACAGTCCAAGACAGAAAGACACACACATAACCAAGTTTAGTAATTCAGCTTGTTAAGGGTAAGTGTTCAAGTGACATGCTTGAATTATAGTCTAACTAAATCAAAAAAAAAATATAAAAAAAAAACAGTGGATGGTAGCTTCAGCCAGTGCAGCACTGAAGCTTACTAAAATAGCAGCAGATTAGGTATGACGTGGTGTCATTTCTGCTTTAATGAGCTCTATATTTAAGCCATCACTCTTCGTGTATATGCCATAGTCACATTTTCTTCATCACAACTGACAGTGAGTTGCTTTAACTAGATCTTATTTCTTTTTCTCAACTGAGACATTATTTCTAACTATAGTATCATATTTGATGAATCTCATTTTTTTTACATTTTCACTTTTAATCACTTCATGTAGACATAAAAGTCAGCACAAACCTGTTTTCTTTCTCTAATCTTATTCTTCATAAATATGTTGAACTTATCTCAAGGTATCTTATGCTTTATACAAATTTCACTTTAATATTATAACAACCTTTTGAAAGATCTTCTTCAGATCTAGCCAGACTCTTACAGGCCCTACACTTGCCTCCACTTCTGTTGTGTGAACTCTAAGAGCAGGGTACCATCTTTGAAGTAGTAATGATCATAGAGCATTAGTTTTCCATACTTATTTACTATGAGGCTACATTTTTTTAAACTCATTTCATAGATGTTGTTTTTTGTTGCTCTGTATTAACTTTGACTTCTTTTGCCTTGTTTAACTGCTTATGTCTTCCTTTTATTATATTAATAATAGAAACAAGCTTTTGGGGAAGATTACTTACTCCTGCTAGCAACTTTACAAAATTATGTTTATCACTTGTAATAAGGAACATGATGCCTAGAAATATTCAATAGGTCATCTTTTAGTGGAAATAAGTACCAGAAGCACATTTAGAATTTTGTTTGGCAAGTTTCTAAGATTATGCCCTTACTACGATGGAAGCCAATGGTAAAGTATTTATTTAGATTCTTCATGCATCTAACACTAGGTTGTTGGAAAGGAAAAGAAGTTGAATATAATTTTTATACAAGGTCTTATTATGGAGTCCTGGCCTTGGATTTACAGAGAGACGCTTGCTTCTGCCTCCTAAATGCTAGGATTAAAGGCATGTGCCACCATACATGATTTAACAAAAATAAATTTTCAAAATTATCCTTTCCCTGTGAATCCCTAGCCTACTTAGTAAGCCAGGAATTCTGTATATGGAGAATATTTAAGATATTCCTAACTATTATGACATTAATCATTTTCTATATATGGGAATGATTACATGTGAGATGTTACAGATTCCTTTCTGTTGCTGATAATATGTTTGGACCAAAAGCTACTTAGCAGAGGAAAGGATTTATTTCTCTTCACATGACAATCCATCATTGAAGGAAGTCAGACAAGAATTCAAGCAGGAGCTTGAAGACAGAAACATGGGGAAGCACTGTTTGCTGCTGTCACAGTCACTTGTAAGCTAATGCTTAGCTAGCCTTCTTACAGAGCCCCGGACCTCCTGTGCAGGGAATGGTGCCGCCCACAGTCGGCTAGGCCCTCCTCCATCAATAGACAGTCAAGACTGTCACAGACATGCCCAAAGACCACAGTGACAAAGGCAACTAATCAATATGGACTCTCTTTTCAGGTGATTCTAGATTGTGTCAAATTAACATATGCCAATGTCAAATCGTACACGAGTTATTTGTGTAATACACAACGTTCATAGGATTTAGTTTGATTGAATTTTAATTTATATGGTACACTAATGGTGTTAAACGATCAAGGTGGAGCCATTTCAGAAAAATGAATCTTGGAAGAGACATGACTTGAATAGGATTTACATCTTTCTCTGCAACTGGATTTTCATTCTTTACTAATTTTTCATATTTAATGTAATTTATTTTTCCATTAGTTTTTTCATATTTGCTCCATATGACAGACATTATTCCTGTGCTCACCAGATGTCAAAGGTAACACCTCACATAGGATCAAACAGAAAAAGTAGTGTGAGTCTCTGGTGATGAAGTATGGGAATTTAAGTGAAGTAATAATTGAAATGTGGTGAAATTTCTTAGCCTGAGTCATTTGTTTTTTTAAAAAAATTGTAATTCAATAGTTACAGACTATTGATTTCTTCCATTAACATTTTAGGTTTCAATGGGATAGAACCTCATAATAACCCACGGTTCATCAGCTCCTGAAACAATAGGGGTTTTTCAATAACAGGAAGTATTTTTCATTTTTTGGGTCAGGATAAATTCTGTAAAGTTCATTCAGAATGTTTCCTTTTGCTTACTAATATTCCAAGAGATATTTGTTTTCACTGTGTGCAAAGATATCTTAATGTTCTGTACACTTTTAAGGAAGCATATATCTATGTATGAGGTAGATATGCCTAAAAAAGAATTCATCCAAATTTATCAATTTCTTAATTTTATTTTTTGAGATTATAATATAATTACATATTTTTCCCTTCCCTTTTCTTCCTCCAGTCCAAAAAGAACAGGGAGTTGGCTGTGAGACTGCTTCTTATGAGTGTCAGAAGCCATACCGAGAAATCTCACCAGCATGATGGCCAAAACATGACCAGAACAAGTCCAGCACCAATGGACATACTGCTGTGGATGGGGAAGCTCAGGAGGCCTCATCCCTACACAAAGAGCTAAAGGCAGCTAAGGAATTCTGAGGGTGGAAAAAAAGTTCCCACTGGTTATCCAATACCAAGTGGTTGGCCCCGAGAACATACATATGAATAACAATGGCTAAGCAGGCTGTATTTATGAATGCATATGTATGTGTGTGTGACAGATTTATCAAAGTTTAGGCTTCACTTCCATCTCTCACTATCCCTGTCCGTGTTACTAGGTGAGGACTCACTACAGTGTGTGTCATACCTGTATTTTAGTTACTAATTTTCGTTGATTCACCATGTTTAACATTGAAATTAGTTTTTGAGAATCCCTTACCTTGTGTTCAATTAAAAGTTCTTTAAGATGTTTATTCTGGGATTGGATAATTCTAATTTTAATGAGGTTGTTCTTAGCTGCAAGGGACAAAAACAGATTGCAGTTTAGGCCACAGCTGATCTCTCACAAAGCAGGAAGTACAGCAAGTGTAGGTGCAGATTGGGATTTCAGAGACTCAAATGTAAATTTTAAGGGCCCAGGATTTTTCCACATTTCTTCTCTGACAGTCTCTGCTTGCCACAGTCATGATAGGAATGATGCAGTTCCTAATGTCGTGAGCCTTTACTACAATGTGGTCATGATCTCTCGTGGTCATTATAGTATGACACAGTTCCTAATATCATGAGCTCTTACTACAACATGGAATACGTGGCAGGAAGAAATGGTTTCCATTCGTTTATTACCCAGAACCCTTCCCCAAAGCTTCTTTAGGAGACTTCCCGTCATGATTATTAACCAAGATGAGCTACTTGTCTCAAATACATGATCAACTGAAAAGAAAATTGAATAGTTGTGTCCACCTTTAAAGTCCACCAGTGTCCCTGGAAGCGAGGATTGGAATCACCTTTCCAGGGCCCACATTCCAAACAGGTAAGAGGAACACCAAAAAAGGAGCTGGGTCTCTGCCAGCCGAAAATGCAGTGTATTTAGAAAGTTAAAAATATCACTCAAATTCTGTATTATTATCCATCTTTCTCTCTATGGTATAATATGGTCTCTGACACTTTACTGTTAGAAAATAGCTTCCTCCAACATTTCCTAAAATCTATGTGTATTTGTACTACTTAGGTTATTAGGTTAAATGCTTTGAACAATATATATATAGCTAGAGTTTCCCTGCCTTGCCCATGCCCACAGCACAGTCTGGACAAATCTTTGTCACCTGCCAGTCCCACAGCCGCTCAGACCCAAACAAGTAAACACAGAGACATATTGCTTACAAACTGTATGGCCATGGCAGGCTTCTTGCTAACTGTTCTTACAGCTTAAATTAATGCATTTCCATAAATCTATACCTTGCCACATGGCTCGTGGCTTACCGGTATCTTCACATGCTGTTTGTCATGGCAGCAGCTGGCAGTGTCTTCTTCTGCCTTCCTGTTCTTTCTTTTCTCCTCTCTGTTAGTCCCACCTATACTTCCTGCCTAGCCACTGGCCAATCAGTGTTTTATTTATTGACCAATCAGAGCAACTTGACATATGGACCATCCCACAAATATATATATTCTTTATTGATTCTTTGAGAATTTCACATCATGCACCCTAATCCACTCACCTCCTAGTCTCTCTACATCCATCTCTCACCCCCACCAGAAGAACCTCCCCAATTAATGAAAACAATGTGAAACAAATGTCTTGCCCATCTCTCCAACACCTCTTCGTTTATCCTAATGGCACTGGGAGATGCAGTGTGTCACACAGTGTACCCCTTTATCCAAACAACCTCTCCTGCAAACGTTAATTGCAATTAGTCATTGGTCTGGTTCAAGGTCTCTGGCCTCTGACACACCATCATCATTGGACCCTTACCAGAACACCTCTCGGATATCCTGCAGCTATTGTTCTACAGGACCAGTCCCTTCATGTGCTCCCACGGGTGATACATGGGGCAGCTGTTAGGGTGGGCCAACAAAAAGCCCAGAACATGGGTCTAGATGGTAGCTAATCTGGTCATTCCCAGCCACTGGGACTGCCCCCATTTAAGTGAGGGGCAGAGCCAGCTCTCCTATGCCCAGTGGTGGTGAGGAGTAGGGGGTGGCACAGTGTCCATGGAGAGGTATGGCCAGCTATCCCTGGACCAGTGAAAAGCTGAGCCAGCTCAGCACAGGTCTCCAGATTTCAACACACATGGTTCCCATGCCCCCCTGTGGTAACATGGGCTATGGATATCTAGTGGTTCCTGAGGCTAAAAGGTATCAGAGCCCCTACACCTACAGTCAGAACTAGTTGTGAGCTGCTATGTGGGTGCTGGGAATGAAACCTGGGTCCTTCGGAAGAGCAGCAAGTGCTCTTACCTGCTGAACCATCTCTCCAGCCCCCTCCCTTAATTGTTTTTAAGACAGGGTTTCACTATGTGGTCCAGGATTATTAGGCAGAGTTCTCTAGAGGAACAGAACTAATAGCATGAGAGAGAGAGAGAGAGAGAGAGAGAGAGAGAGAGAGAGAGAGAGAGAGAGAGAGACTTATTAAAGGGGAATTTATTTATTGGCTTGTCTTATATGATAGGGCTGGGTCATTAAACAATGGTCAACTACACATTGGAGAGGCATAGAATGAAGTTTCCAATCCAGAAAATGAAATGACTCAGCAGTTCAAATCCAACACCGAAAGATAGAAGATTCTGGAGAGTGACTGTGAGTGAGATCACTTTGAAGGCTGAGGAAACTGGAGTCTATGCCTGTGGGCAGCAGCAGTGATAGACATAATCACCCAGTGAAGACAGCGACTCACCTAGCAGCGGCTTTCCCTTCTTCTTTTCTTCATCCATGCAGTCTGCTTCCTTGTATTCAGGGTATGTCTTTTCCCTCTAGTCAATGTCCCAGATGCCAATCCCCTCTGGACATGCATCCACAACATACAACCACACTTCAACAATCCTAGGCACCTTAGTCCAGTCGGGTTGGCAATTCAGAGAGGCTAGCTTAAACTTACTTATCCCAGGCTAACCTCTAACTTGAGATCCTCCTGACTCTTCCTAAGTGCTAGGAATACAGGTATGAGCCACCCCCAAATCAGCTTTCAGTCCCATTTTCTGATACCTAGGACTTCAACCCCAGGAAACTGATCCATTTTTCTCAAAAGCATTGGCTGGCAAGCTTTTAAGACTTGATGGGAAAGAGCATCATGCTCATGTAGTGATATCTGCAATAGGCTTGATGGTAGCAGCAGGAGTGTTTTCTGCTGACCAGGAACTTCCTGATACTGAATATCTAGTGTCTGCTTGGCATTGAACTGTAGGCAATGTCTATACATTTCAGAGTATGCTCTTCAAAATCATGCATCAAAGCCTGTAGGAAAAACATAATGATATATAGCTTTCCCCTACTCAACATTTACTATGTGCTAGAAATGATAAACTGTTAGCATATGTTACCTAATTTAATTTCTTCTCTAATTTAATATGCACACTTTTATTGGTAGGTAGTATAATTTCAGTTTTGCATAGAAAGACAATTAAGGACTAAAACTGTTTCCTAAAGCTATGCTACTAATTGAGGTGGGCTCAGGATTTACAGCAGATTTTTCTGACTCCGAAGTTATTTACAAATTGGCTCCTAGATGATGTCCCTTATCCTCAAGCAGCTCTTAAAAACTCTTGGTTCTTAGGAGGTATCCTTTGCACTATAAGGACTGTGAACTGGTTGCATCTATTATGACATACACAATTACCATGTGCTCTAATGTTTTGATGAAGAAAGACAATATAATTTTTCCTTGATAAATCACTGTATGTTTTGTGAGTCTCTAGAACAGCCCTAGCCAACAACTTGAAAGGGGACTTCCTGTGCCTAGAATAGCTGTTTTTGTTAGGTGGTCTTTGGATTTTGGATGGAGCATCATCAGCCCAGGTGAGAAAAGTTCATTAAAGCTATATATGTATACACACACACACACACCACCACCACCACCACCACCACCACCACCACATAATGTGTATTTTGTTTATAGATAAATAGTAGGATTCCCTGTGGCCTTTTCAGACATCCTTGTTGCTATTTTACCGACCTCCCTTCTTCTTTATTTGCCCTTTCCACCCACCCTAAAGAGGCTCCCCTATCTCATTTTCCCTACAGAAGGAGGGAGGAAGCAACTCCATTTGTATTTATTATGATTCCAAGTAATAAGAGCAATATTAATAATGTTAATTTAAACTGAACTTTTTGTCTAAAACAATATTTATTTTTATTGTGTATGGGTATTTTTCTGGCATGTATATCTGGGTACCATGTGAATGACTGATGTTCATAGAGGCCAAAAGAGGGTATTGGATCTTCTAGGACTTGAGTTACACTCAATTGTAAGCTGTCATGTGGGTGCTGGGAATCAAACCCAGACCCTCTGGAAGAACAGCCAGTGGTAACTGCTGAGCCATCTCTCTGGTCCCCTGAACTTCTTTTCCCTTTCATTGAAAATGTTTTTTTCTTACATAATATATCCTTCCCGTTACTACTTCCCTCCCATCCAGAGCCATTCTCTTTCTGACTTTGATGGGATAATAATAAAATAAAATACAGTATAGTAAGATAAATCAAAAGCTAACACATCAGAATTGGACAAAACAAATGAAGGAAAAGAGCCCAAGACAAGGCACAAGAATCAGAGATCCACTTGTTCGCACACTCAGGAATCCCATAAAAACAGTAAACTGCAAGCCATAGAATATATGCAAAGAACCTGCAGGATAAAGAGGAAGAAAAATATATAAATAAGATAACATGAAAATAAAATATAGTAAGATAAAATTAACAAAAAAGGAAGAGCCCTGACATTACATTATGAGACAAGGAACCTCGAAAGATACCTTTGAGTTCATGTTCTGCTGATCGTCTACAAATATAAGGGAGACAGCCTACTCTTAAAATTAGTTTGTCTATCAAGTGAGACACCCTTGAAGAAAACTAAATTTTCATTTGCAAGTGGCTATCAACTGGAGATTATTTCTCTGTTAAGAATAGGGGCATTTGTTTACTTTTCCTTCAGTTCTAGGACCCAAACTGTTGCAGACCTGTGCATGCTGCTGCAGTATCTGTGAGTTCATATGTATGTCAATCATGTTGATTTAGAGAGCCTTGTTTTCTTGCTGTCCTCTATCCCCTCTGGCTCTTATACTCTGGGAGGCATATTATAGAGACATCCTGTTTAGGGCAGACAGAGTGTTCCAATCTCACTTTCTGCATAACATCTGGCTGTGCATCTCTGTATTTGTTCCCATCTCTTCCAGGAGGAAGTTTCTCTGACAATGAGCAAGGCGTTGATCAGTGAGTGTAGCAGAATGTCATTGGGAGTCATTTTATTCCTAGGTTGGGTTTTGTT